TTAGGGGGCCATCTGTGGCCAAATGAAAAAGTACAGTGCTGCAGATACACCTCCTAAGGATACAGAATATCTGTAATTACAGCAAAATATAATTTTCTTCTGGTATTGGTCATTCTAGAAAGAACCGTGAAGCTTACATGACAAGCAGTGGCTTCTATTCTGGGGAGGTATTACACTATGTTAGCCGAACTTAATGCTGAGTTACACAGTGCCACCAGTGTAGGCTCTAGCCATTAATGGGCTTGGGGTCTTTGGCGATCTCAGTCAACGTGAGGAGTATATTCTTGTTCGAGTAAAATATGCCACAGCATCTCCTGTTCCAGTGGTACTGATTAAAGGACATGAGTCATTATGGAAGTTCGGTGCTCATTGTGTATACGGTCCTGTACTCATTGAGGGTAAGAAAATAGTTCCAAAGAAAGAGCATACAGGTGCCATTGTGTACCAAAGGAGTTTCAATGTTTGAGAAATATGTAGTGCAGAGGAACTGCCAAATTCTGTAGAGCGCTGGTCTGATTTAACCATTTGGAGCCCAAGTGCTAAGTGGGGGATGCTGGGAACAGATTCACCAGTTCATCTACCCAACGGAGTCATCCTCTCCAAGAAAATTCACTTCTTTAAGAACTGGAAGGAAAATAAATATGGCGCAGTGAAATTGTGGAGGAGAGGAATCTATCTGGACATTTCACAAAACATTTCATTATGCAGCCAATTCCCAGAAGCACTCTCAAGAGTGCTTTAAGCTGAGGATTACTGCGCTGGAGCTGATGGACTTTTTTTGTAGCCCCTTTAAAAGGCAGTGAACCGTTTTTCTATTTTATTTAAATAATGCCCCTTAAAATGGATTTTTAGAGGTATAATAACTCCTTAAGAGTCAGTTATGCTAAACAGTCTCTCTTGATAGAAATGTTGTAAAACTCGTTAACTGCACAATTTCAGACGCCAGCTTGGTGAACACTAACTGACATGTGAATGACCAGAGTTTGTAAAATAAATTGCAATAGTTGTTGGATCACACAGCTAGCATCGCACAAGCTGGAGGCCACGAGGGGCTCCAACCTGACAGAAAATTACTTCAAGATGAATGAAAAGTGCTTGTTTCTCTTTATTAGTTTTTAGAGAACAATGAAAACGTTGAATTGTTTACAGAGGGCTGATTAAATGTGGTCAGCGGGGCCACGTCCCCACTGCTAACTGCTGGCCTTCCCCACGCTCCCGCCGGCAGGGCCCAGCCCCGCCCTCCACCCTCCGCCCTCCCGGCCGCCACACGCACCTCTCTGTGGCTGGCCATGGGGCTGCAGTGTGAAACGGCTCGCTCTGACATTCCACTGCTGCTCGGCCTGCAGAGGCCTTTGTTAGGTAAAACACTGTTGTCAAGCCTAACAAGCAGACTTTGCGATCTGCCGGACACTGCGGCAGAATAGCCCACGATGAATTGCGGGGGCCTCAAACAGTGCTCGGTTCCATATTGGAATCCGTATGCATTTCTTTCATTACGCACCACTACAAAAAGTCATGACATTTGTGTTTTTTAAGGCTTTGAATTAAAAAAAGATACTGTAGGTTGCTAAGGTTAGACTGCCACAGAATAGCCTTTTTTGTTATATCTACTTAGGACAACCACAGTCTTATGGTTAAAGGAAAGAGGCATGAAGTGTTTTAATTGGTCATTTGTGGGTTTGATTGCATTTATTGTTGGGCAGACGGTACAGCAGGAGGAGAGGCACAGGCTTCTAACGTGGCTGACCACTCTGTGTTTCAAAGCGGAGTCTAAAAGCAGGCAGCTGGGAGTAGGACGCAGAGAAGGATTCTCACCATGTATTTCCACAGAGTAAACAGCCCTCGATGGAAAGCAGTATGAGGGCTCATTAATAAGCATATGGCAGGCAGGGAGAAAACAGCCTTTCTACCAGACCAGCTAAATGACTCAGATCCAGAAGATGTTTTGGTGAGTAAAAAAATTGGGGAAAAGCAAAGTATTGCTATTTCAGCTCAACAAACGGCCTTCCACGGCCTGTCCCCACCTCGCTCCTAACCACACACACACACGCACACACACACACACACACATACACACACACGCGCGCGCCCATGTGCATGGAAATCAGCAGTCACAGATAGCAGTTCAGATGCTATTCGTGTCACTGTGACACAAACCACAGCACACATGCCTGATGTGCAAGCAGGACGATGCTCTCCCCTTCTGTGCAGAACATGCATTCGGAGCCTATTATGTGTATAAACAATGGCATATGTAATTACCTTTGCAGGGTGGCAATTATTCCTCAGAATCAACAACCAGAGTGAAAGCATGCTCCCCCAAAAGACATTTGGGGATCAATTCTGGGTCAATTGCATCAGACTTTGATTTATCACATGGTGTCAGGTCATGTTAAAAAAAAAAAAAAGAAAGAAAGTTTAAAAAAAAAGCATTATGAGGTAAAGGCTAAAGGTTGGACTCAAATTGGTTTGTTTCCAACTTTGCTCTCTCCCAATTGCTCTGTTTTCCCCTTATTCTCAAAACAACTATGATTTCCTAGGTTTTATCCGTTAGTGTGTTCTGTAGGAATATTAAATGTAATGAGTTTGGACTTTATCCAGATTGGAGCTGCCCTCTACACACACACACACACACACACACACACACACACACACACACACACACACACTGCTAGGCACTGGGAATTTCTCCTAGGATGTAGCCGCTATGGGAAGGGGTGACCAGATCAGCCTTTGGAGCCTAAGTGATCTGGATTTGGGTCTCATGACGTCAGCAAGACGCTTCCACAGTGGACGGCTCCTACTCTGCACGGATGCTGTGAGGCTCGATGAGGCAGCTAAGGAGAGACCGCATGGACAACACCTGGCTCTGTGCTGCTTACGTGCTGAGCATCCAGGAGTGGCATGATGGCTACGGTACTGCTAGACAAGCACAGTAGGAGAAGCCAGCGGAGCCCTGCCCCAGGTAGAGAGTAGGCTCAGGCCCGGTGGCAGCAGAGCAGACATTGGTAACTGGGTTAAATCAGGGGAGGACTACTAATCCCCAGACACTATTTAGGGGGCCCAGGAAACTAAAATGTAATAAAGACTCAGTTATTTGGACTTACTCTCCATAGACTGACAGTAAACTCCAAGCCAGTGAAGGTGCTATTCCGTTAGCAAGATCTCACTCCACTCCCCACCCCACCTTCTACAGAGCTTTAAGGGCCAAAGGTGAAAAAGCTCCTTTACATTTCATGATCACCAAATACTTACTGAACATGGACCTGCTAGGCACCAGGCACTGTGCTACACAGGCATCAGGAATTCAGAGATGAATCTCCCAGAACACTGAATACATATCCACAAGTTAATATAACACCAGCTAAGAATTAAGAATCCCCAGGGCCAGGGATTTAGCTCAGCAGTTTGGTGGCCTGCCTTGCAAGTGCAAGGACCTGAGTTCGATCCCCAGTACCAAAAAAAAAAAAAAAAAATTCCTGAAAATTACTTCATGCCGACTCCAAGTGACATAAAGGCCCAACAGCATGACCCAGAGTTCAGTGGAGGGGTGATTTGTTCTATTAAGGATGAATCAAATAACCAAAGTTATTGGTTAAATTAGAGCTATTCCTTATTAAAAGACAAAAATAACAATTGTTGCAAATTGAATTGAAAGAGACGGTATGAGAAATCTCATCACATTGTGTAGGGAGCAATATACTGTCCCATTCAAAGAGCACTTAAAAATCTGTTACATATGGAGAATCGTTGTTCATTTAATAAGACGGAAATAGCACTTGCACTATTCATTTCTCAAACAGCACATAGTTATTGGCAGTATGTATTGGCAGCTTAATTAAGAAGTCTGTTGATGATGTTAAAAAAGAAAAGCTGGTTCATTTCCTATTCAGAGGGACACAGCTCAAGACAAAGACGTGTCTATTGTTGGCTAATCCATACTAAAACGTGTCACAGACACTACATGAAGTGTCTAATGGCTACAGTCGTGTCAATATCACAACACTGGAAAAATCATCACTTAAACTTATTCTCAGCTCAGAAATAAATCTTCAGAAAACTGCAAAGTCACCCAACTCATGCAACAAAGAGAACAATGCAATGAATGCTGAAAGAATGTCAAACTTCATACAGAATCATTGCCCAGATGTGCTTTGCCCCCACCCTGTGCAGTACTGAGCCCAGGAGTGTCACCCCTGAGATGGAACAAGATCTTCCTCTTCTATCCAGTCACTCCAAACGGTAGGGCCCAGGGCATGGAAAGAGATCCCTCTAGAGACAGCAGGCAGGATTCACCTTCCTACCCCCAAGGAATGTGCAATCAATATATTTTCCAACAGACAATCTATACCTAAAGGAAAATACTGGAATTCAATTCAAATTAACTCAAACTATATTGTATTAATGACTCTAAAGCCTATGGAATATTGATGGGGTGGATAAAAGTGTTCCTATCGCAGCACTACAAAAATAATACAAAATAAGATGGATCATATCTCTCAGAGCTTGAAGAACAACAAAAGAAACAGAATTTCCAAAATCCCAAGTCGTTCACATTAGAGTGTTGTTGTTGTTGTTATTTTTCATTAATGGGGCTGAAAATACTCACAGAACACACTTTTCTGTTCATTTGTTTCTTGTCTTAGGGACATACCTAATTAAAAACAGAAGAACACACTATGCATCCTGAAACTAATAGTAAATTCATTAAAAGCAGGCTCCACCTGCTTTTGTCACCCTAATTTTCTCTCCCCCATTTTGTGCACTGATTCACACATAGCAAGCACTCAATTAAGTTGGAAGGCAATGCATGTTTTAATTCGCATTAATTTGGAGGGGTTGCACCGATTTAAGGCGCGTCAGAGACAAGGAGGGTGGGTTTAATCTTTGCTGATTTCAGGCTGTTGAGGCACAACTGTCTTGAAGATGTCCTCCGTGAAGCTGGCGGAACCACAGATCACAATGGCATTCTCCAGGTCTTGATCTGTTTCCATTTTTGCAAAAGGTAATGAGGTGATCCTCCAATGGGTCTATTTCCAACAATAAAACATGAAAGGTGATGTGAAGCAGGTAATCAAGGGGTGTCTGTCCCCTGTCCTGGAGGCAGTACATCTGTGAACAAAACAGAAGCCAATTAGCAATCCACACCCTCCTAAGAACTACTTTTCAGAAGTGCAAATGTCGTCCATTTCCTGATCACTAACATAGATTTAGCTCAACATTTTTAAAACACAGCCTGGACCATTTATGGTGATAACGTTAGTTAAGGCATTCTTCTTCTGCTTGAAAGAATGATTTTGAGGTCCATCCCACACCCACGTGCAGATCCATGCCTAATAAAAGTCATGAATGCCACATACCCTTATTGTGAAGACAGACTTTCATTATCCATGACCCACACCTAAAGACCCCACTGCTTCCCATTGGGGAAAAAACACAGAGGCTGGTTGTGAAGCCACCCACTAGCCAAGTGCAGATGCTCTGCAGCTAAGGCACAACCTGAAAAGTCACAGGCCTGCAGCAGTGTGGAAGCACCCAGGAAGGTCCCTCCTTGGGCTCCCCAGGCATCTCTGTGTACAGCAACACCAGCTCGGACCAAGACTAACATCCTGACAAGAAATGCTGCTTGTCCTCAGACTCAGGGGCTGCTGTCTCTCTGAAATGCCCCTCTGCAGACTCTTTTTTGTGATGCCTCGTGTTTAGCCTTGAATTTAAATCTACTGGATCATGATTATAAAACAAAACACCTATTCCAGGATGCTGCCCAGTCATAATGAGCCCTGCTAGCACCTGACTCTGAATCTCACCTGCTCTCTATTCTCTAATTGGCTGCACCTTGGGCTGGACTGGATTTCCTCAGATACCAAGTCCTGAGCCAATCCTAAATCATCATATTCTCTTAAGCATTGAGGCCTGGACTGCAGGCCAACCCTAGTGAAGTTGGATTCCCAATCTGAATCACCTAACCTTGGTTTCCTCCTGTTCCCTGGACATCTGTGTTGCTAAGATACTACATAGGAATTCCCCCCGCCCAGCCTAGGCAAGATATAGCACTGTAATTTTTGGATATATATTTCTTTCTTTCACTTTGTTGGCCAATTATTAATTTATTCTTATTTCATACCCTTAAATTTTTTTAAATCAATTTTATTGGGACATTAAATGTATATAATATAATGACATTCATTGTTGGAAATTTGTACCTTTATATAATCAATCTTGGTTCTTTTTTTTTTTTTTGCCCATTCCCCCGCCCTTCTTTAAACCCCTCTCCCTCCCTATCTACAAAGGCTTTGTTTCCATTATTTTTCATTTCCTCATATTAATTCCATTCCCTTCTTTCTCTCCCCCAAGTCCTCCCACTTCCCCTTCCCCTTTGCCCCTGCTCTTCCTATCTCCCATTATCTATTAGACCTTTTAGTCCTTATTTACACTTTCAGTTTCTCACACTAGAGAAACTATTCGGTATGTACACATGTGTCCTATTTATATCACTTAAGAGTATTGCCTCAATGTGCATCCACTTAGCTATAAATGTCTCTAATTTCTCATTTTTTATGGCTGAGTAGTATTCCATTTTGAGGGGGAGCACATTTTCTTTACCCAGTCTCCTATTGATGGGCAATCAGGCTACTTTCAAGTTTCATCTATTGCAGCCAGGGATTTGGCTCAGTGGTTCTGCCACCTGCCTCGCAAGTGCAAGGGCCCTAGTTCAATCCCTGGTACAAAAAAAAAAAAATTGAACTGCTTTGTGTTAATTTCACTGGACTTAATAGTACTGAGTTATATTCATTTAAAACTTGGAAACAGCCCATTTGCCCATCCGCTGGAAACTGGATAAAGAAGATGTGGTTTTTCTATAAAATGGAATATTACTCAGCCATAAAGAATGAGAAAATAGAGTCATTCATAGGAAAACAGATACATATTGAGGCCATACTCCTAAGTGAAATAAATAAGTCACACACGTGTAAATACCGAATAGTTTCTCTGGTGTGAATAAACTGTAATAGTACGTAAGATCCTAATAAGATTACTGACATTGTGAAATGGGAAGAAAAAGGCTAAAGGTATAGAGAAGGTGGGATGGATAGGGGAAGGATAATAAGGGAAAAGAAAAAATGTGAGAAAATGAAAAGATGGAAATAAAGTGTTTGTAAATGGGGAGGGGAGGAGGGGTGAAGGGAGGGCAGGGACAAGGGGAAAAAATGAGAACCAAGACCTGTCATGTAGAGGTACAAGATCCCAACAATGAATGTAACTGTACTGTATCCCTAAAATGTACCAGTAAACTCAATTAAAGCTGGAAAAAAGTTTTAGCTATTACAAATTGTGCTGCTATGAACATGGGTGCACATATATCACTATGTGGCATGATTTTTTTAATTCTTTGGTGATGATACCCAGAAAGGGAGTAGCTGGGTCAAGTGGGACCTCCAATCCTAGCTCTCTGAGGTGTCTCCATACTGATTTCCACAGTGGTTGCACCAGTCTGCACTCCCACCAGCAGTGGAGCAGGGTTCCTCTTTCCCCACAGCCCACCAGCATCTGTTATTGGTTGATTTCATGATAGCAGCCATTCCTTCTGGGGTGGAATCTCAGTGTTGTTTTCATTTGTATTTCTTGAATGACCAGTGATGTTGAACATTTTTTCATATGTTTATTTGATGCGTTTACTTCTTTGTCTGAGAAGTGTCTGCTCATTTCAGATGCTCATTTTTGGATTGGGTCTTTAAATTTGGGAGGTCGGGTTTTTTTTTTTAACGTTCTTTATATATTCTACATAGTAGACCTTTGCGGGTTGTCTCTTCACACTGTTGGTCATTTCTCTTGCTATGCAGAAGCTTTTTAATTTTTTTTCCTCATTGAGTCTATTGGTACATTTTGGGTATACAGTACCGTTACATTCATCATTGGGATCTTGTACCTTTACATGACAGTTCTTGGTTCTCATTTTTTCCCCTGGTCCCTGCCCTCCCTTTACCCCCTCCCCCCAGAAGCTTTTTAATAAGAAGACATCCCACTTGTTGATTATTTTCATATCCTTAAAAATTAAGCCAACATCACTTTCATTACAATCTTACATAAGTTCCTATGGCTTTATCCACACCTGAGTTTTTTAAAAAAAGTTCTCCACTTCCCTACTCCGCTTTATTACATGAACTCTGCCTCAAGTGCACAGGTTAGCTGACCTCAAAGGTCACTCTAAATCTTCATTCACACCCTGTCTTTGCCTTTTCAGGTTTTGTTTTTTTTGTTTTGGTTTGGTTTGGTTTTTTGGTTTTTTGAGACAGGGTTTCACTATGTAGTTTAGACTGCTCTGGAACTCACTGCATAGCCCAGGCTGGCCTCAAACTCACAGCAGTCCTCCTGCCTCAGCCTCCTGAGTGCTGGGATTACAGGTGTGCATCCCCACACCTGGCTTTCTTTGCCTTTTTCTTAATTAGCTCCTTTTCCTCCTTTGGCACTCCACCTGTGACACAATCTAAGAAGCTTTTCCAAGAAACAAATCCACCTGCTTTACCTGCTGGACTCTCTAGAATAATCATATCTCACAGCCTAGTCCTTGATTTTTCCTTAATGTTTTATATACTTGAACTCCTCAGCTACAATTTTGGTCCTTTGCAACTGAGCTAGAGGCCATGTCTCGTACTTGCTGTCATGTTCCTGGAGTGCCTGGTATACCTCTAGAGTACCTTGCCATCCTGAAACATAGAGAGAGCAAATTCCACCCCATCCCATCCTTCCACCTTTCCCTCCACCTGTCCCCAGAAAGCCCCAGCTCCAAGGAGGAAAAGACATGATGTCCCTGAATCAATTACCACTTCAAGTAAACCTCTTGAGAGCAGGTGGAATTTTGGTATACAGTATAAACAGAAACAATGAAAGCCCTAACTTCTGCAGGCTGTGATCTCTCTGAGGTTTTGTCTTTAAGGCTTCTTGCTCTCTTTAGTTGTTTCTTTCTACACCCACATGCGTAGTGTGATAAAACTTGTCTAAAACTGCCTCCCACTTAGAAGACCTCCTCATCCAACACACACACACACACACACACAGGAGGTGGGTTCTGTATTTATCCCAAGTACTTATGGCCCCAAGAAACACCTAGGCAAGGATCTTAAGAGTCTATCCCAATGCCACTAATATCTAAGTATGTCTCAATAAATGTGTATGAATTGCTTTTTCTATAGTAAATTCTAATTATTTGAACTTTATCAGATGAGACCAAGAATTGTGAGAAACTAAAGCTCTGGATCAGCATTGTTTATGACTCATGCACTGAGTACATGTCTTGCTCAAAACTTGAGAGCAATTTTATTTCTATGAAGACATTTCTCTAAGAACACATTTCTTACACCATAGATCTTTGAGTCTGAGACCTTTTTCAGAGTGAGAATGCAAGGAAGACAAATCCTGGGGGTTTCGCAAGACTTTCTGCCAAGGAGTAAAGCCATTGGACTTCTAGTGTGAAATTTTGCATCAGTACTTGCAGATGGCCAGAATTGACTGTAGAATCATGTAATATTCATGATATCTCACATATTTTGGATATTTAAAGATATCATACACACTAGATACATATATACATAACCTTGATATGATACTACTAGAAAGGAAAGGGATAATGGCTTTAGGCATATCTCAAAGTCATAAGATCTGTTACTTGGACAAGTCTGTGGCTAAAACACCACATCGAAGCAATGCTTTTGCTAACATGTGGCATAGAGACTGCCAAGTCTCCCCTTCTTCCTTAACAGCCCTGAGTTTTAAGGAGTACACGGCCACAAAGACTATTCTGAGGCCTTCCTGGAAGCTAGGTGTGGCTCATGGGATGTGAACATAAGTTAGGAGTTCAGCTTTCAGGAAATGCTCAGAGAGAATACTCAAGCATCTTAAGACACATGAATGAAACCAATATCCAGAGACAGCAAAGGATTAAAAAGTTTTATTTCGCCTTTAGCCAAAAGTCTAAACCTATCAGTCCAGGTCTGACTCAGGGAACAGCTTCCATTGTGTCAAGAAACTCCTTCTATCTAGTTTAAGCCACTGTATTCTGCAGGTCTCTTAACTGGAATATAGGTTAGGCTGCTGTTATAAATATAGCACTATAA